ATCATAGTTCCGCAATATTAATGTATGACATGCTTTATATTTTAGAAATCAGGATAAATGCTTATCTCAACTGTGTAATAATCCAACGTGGTCCGCTAGAAAAAATATAAAATCAATGATTGAAGACAGTGGAGAAACATCATATTGGAATTATAATTATGCCACCATGCAGATGAGAAGGAAGATTCAGGATATCGTTTGATTGAAACTGTACTTTAAGTAGTGTCAAGTCACGTTGCAAGATACGTTGTAATAACGTGGTAGTCACAAGTTGCTCCTGATTAAGAGATAATCGCCTATAGTTTATTCAGGAAACACTCTGTATGCGATCATATCAAAGACGTTAGAGGAATGGCCGATCCGATCCTTCGTCTATCCATCAATATTACGTTTCATTAGTCAGGCCGATAGATATGTACCCATGTCACGTGTAGATTGACGTGAGCTAACGCGATAAGGCGGAAGAACTAATTAGGAGACAATACGTTTGCCGGATCCAACATGAATAATATGCAAATGCATTATTTCGACTTCTGGGGAGTAGTCGATGCCCAACAACGTTAAATCACCCCTTTTCACTTATACAACAACAACAACGGAGGCGAGAGTAATGTTATCATACGTCGGGAAACAAAGTGGAGATTGTATCTGGCGAGAAGCGAATTATAGTACAGGGCCTGAAAAGTCTGGGCTCGTAGCGCAAAGTAACGTTACGGAATAAGGATAGGAACTTACCTTACCTTACTGAACGACTGTGTTCTTAACAAAAAACGAATAAATTATGAAAGCGTCGCCCTTCTGGCAAAGTTGTGTATGGCCTTGAGTCAAAGCTCCTTAACCTTCTGGGCGTCCAAAGTAATGGATCCCAGTATAGTCTACCTGTAGTAGCTCAGAGCGTAACAGCGACACGGAATGTGCACCGAGGTTTCTTCCTCTACCTGCTCACACAACGCCTCACCGTGCTATGGCCAGATAACAGTCCCACCAGCAACCTTAGGCTGGCTCTATCCAAGAATAAGCAAAAGCGTCCATCCTAAGCACTGGAACCCACGATGGATCTCCCAGCAGAGCTTCCATTGCACTCAATGGCGTTGTCCGCACTGCGCTTGTAATACTGGCCAAACGCTGAATTTTATTGAGCTTGGCCTTAGTTGTCTCGGTTCCAATGTAAGCCCACCAAACCACGAAGCCGTACAAGAGAGATGTACGTATTATCGTTGTGTGAAGCCAGTGTACCACTTTGGCCTTAAGCCCTACCTCACTCCAAGACTGCAAGCCCTCATTAAAGTCTACAGTCCAGTATAATTCCGAGATATTTTACTGATTGGGATAGAACTAGTCTAGCCCCAAAGAAGGTCGGCAAGACAAAGCGAGTCAAGCCTTCTTCTCCTAGTGAATAGAATCAGCTCGGTCTTTCCAGCGTTGAAAGAAGAATCGACCTCCCTTCACCACGATTATGTACTTAACGTAGTATCTAACTTTGAAATTATCGCATTGTGGACTGACGATGCATCAAGATGTGTATTTCAAATACTTGAATCGTGGACGATAGATGAAAGTGCTCAAATCCAGACCCCATTTTGTTATTGATTGACCAGGAAGCTAAAAGTATATTTTGAAATCACAAAAACTTAACCTGTGACGTTGAGCATCATTTACTTTACACCTTCATAAATTGGCCAGCCCACCCCAAATAAATAATAATAATAATAATAATAATATACGCCTTTATTACAAAAAAAAATATGTACATGGTACATACTGAAAGTGGGACTCAACTGGCGAAGTTTAGCAATGCTACTCTTACACTTAACCAGCTGAATCAATAAATACAGTGATGTTAATTAAATTAAAAACATATATACATATATATATATATACATACATATATATACATATACATACATACACATATATACATACACCCATATATACATATATACACACACACATACACATACCTATATATACATATATATCATGCGCCTAATAATAATATTAGCTTCTCAACGTAATAAATATAAAGTCTGATTGGATGATGAATGTGGAAAGGATAGTATCAGTCAAGCAGCCTGATCCTTACATGCTTACGAAGACTTGCTAAGCTCATACATTTAAAGGAATATTCCAACGAATTATATAGAACTGCCGAATTATAAGAAAAACTGCGGGTGAATAAGACTGTAGAGTGAGGCGGAATTCTGATACTCAACCTATCTCTAAGCAACCGATCATGAACAACAAAGTTAAATAGAATTTTTTCTCTCAAGTAGGCGGGCTTTGAAGTGGTTATTACTTTGAGAATAAATACTAGATGGTGATATTCGACCAATTTATCAAATTTGAGCCATTTCAGCGTACTGTATTTCTGTGATACATGGTCAAATTTTCTCAATTTACATATAAAACGGACACAATTATTCTGTATAATTTGAATTCTATTTTTCGTTATTTTGTCAAGGCATGGGAAATAAAGGATGTTACAGTAGTTCAAACAACACATCACTAACGTTTCACAGAGTTTTTTCTTGAGCTTATAGTTCAGTAAGTACCTACAAGAGTACAAGGTGCGTAGGCGGAGGTAGGTTTTTTGAGCAAGACAGTTGATAAGATTATAAAACCTTAACTTCTGATCGACCTCGACACCTAAAATCTTGGCAGTAGTACCAACCTGAAGAAGATTTCTGTCAATAAAGATATTAAGGTTACCTTTTACGTAGTTTCTTTTATTATCAGAACAGAAAACTATGATTTTTGACTTCTCAGGATTAACTAATAAATTATGATTGGCTGAATATTTACAAACCATGTCAATATCATGTTGTAGCTCTATATTGGCTGTTGGTAATTCACTAGCTTTAAAATAATGTACTATTTGGGTATCGTCTGGAAAAGATTGCATTTCAGAATTTTCCATTACTGCATATAGATCGAAGGTGTAGATGAGGAATAAGAGAGGACCTAGGATAGAACCCTGAGGCACTCCAGATCATATGACACTTGGGACAGAGCTCTGTCTAGATAGAGAAACTTCCTGAACTCGGTCGGTTAAATACGCACAGAAAAATTTAAGTGAGGTATTATCAAAGCCAATATATTTCAATTTAGCTAGAAGAAGGATATGATTGATTCTATCAAATGCCTTAGAGTAATCAACCGATATCAAAGCTACTGTGATGAACCAGACTGATTAGTGGATAAGATTTTGCATTCTTCAATGTAAGCAGTTATTTGAATCTGAACGATCTTTTCTAAGATTTTTGATAACACCGGCAATAAACTTATTGGTCGTAAATCTGAAAACTTGGTTGGTTTGTTAATTTTAGGGATAGGAATAACTAAGGCATGTTTCCACAGAGTGGGAAAGTAGCCTTTCTCAATACATGAATTGATTAGATGTACAATATGAGCAAACGTTATAGGCAAATTGACTTTAATCATGGTTAAAGATAAGGTATCGATGCCCTTAGCATCCGACTTTAAGCTTTTTATTGCCTGAAATACTTCAAACGGTTCGGCAATTCTTAGAGAAAAGTTATTGTTTTGGGTGAAACTTATTTCGATTATAAAATTGAATTACATCTTCGGAAATATTATTAGCACAGTACACGCTCATAAAGTAGTCATTAATCGCATCGGGATCAGAAAAATTTGACGGTATAGCGGGTTTACTACTAAAATTTATATCAATATTTTTGAGTCCATTCCACAACTCTTTCGCATTACCTTGCTCCGTTAACAATTCAACATACGCTTTTTTTTTGTTTGCGAATCTCTAAGAGAGCTTTATTTCTTTTCTGTTTATACTTAGCAAAATTTTCTTCCGTTCGATTCTTTCTAAAAAAAGCCAAAGCTTCATCTTTTTTTTAGTAGTTGTTTAAGGTTGCTGTTCAACCAAGAATCAGGTTTTTTGTTAACTCTAAATGTTCTGATTGGAGCGTGTTCATCATATGCATCTATAACTGCTTTAGTTAAGTATTCAACTTTGTCTTCAATGCTTTGTAAGTAGAAAATTGTATCTAATTCCTTTGATTGAAGCTCTAGCAAAAACCTTTCCTCGTTGAACTGCTTAAAGTCTCTTACCGTGATAAATTTCTGTTTTTTAACAGTATATTTCACGTTCTACTACTTAAACCGATTTTCATATCTACAGGTCTATAGCTCCTCCTTATATATCAACCTTATTTCTTGTACGATCAATCCGATCTACAGCTTTGCTGATGACAGCACTCTGCCGGTGAGCTGGAGAAAGGAAGACTAGCAACGAGACCTAGAAATTATCACTGCTTGCGGATGCAACAATCCTTCCGAAATACAGTACCGTACCTTGACTAACAAGAAGCGCCCTAGCGCTCATCCGGTTTCGTTGGACAGCCGAGTTAACCTCATCACTCTGTACAAGGTCCAGATGAGATCTAGCCTCTAGTACTATTCGCATGATTGAGGTGCTGCCACCCCTACCACATTATACATACTCGGTTTTACTCCGCAGAGTTCTCAGCCATGATGTCGCCGCAAGGCTTTTGCCTCCCATCATCTTCTCCAACTTTGCACATCCAGAACCATCTGCCCGAGGTTCCGTTATCCTTAAACAGTTCCAAAATCCGATTAATGATGTGTATTTGAGGTCCCCGTAGTAATCGCGGCGCCCGGTATTTAGGTTTCTGCCTGTGCAGCTGAATCAGTATAAAATATACTAAAGTCTGTTAGGTTCACCGTAAAGAGATACTTCTAGCTTATCAGTGAATTCGAGGAGTCCTATATTATTTTCCTGCGGCGAGCCTTTATGTTTGTACCCATCTTCGCCACTGTTGCAGTTTCGATTCATAAGCAATTAAAGTTCAATTTTTGTGTCGCAGTTGGTCGCAGACATTATTCACCCCAGTCTACGAAAACCTTAACACGATAACAATTATTAAAACTGCCTGTCCAAAACTTGCTCGAGCAAAAAGCTGGTGCTCGGTCTCCGCGTCGCACGTGCTGCAGCCGCCCGTTCCAGCATGAGCGAGTCGTCGTTCCCGTTCGTGCCGCTAGGGGGCAGCACAACGGGCGGCATGGCAGCAGGGTTGCCAACTCGTAAGATAAAAGTCCGTCACATCGATGTAAAAGCTCGCCTAAATTGAGCACTTGAGGCACTCTGGTGACGTGAAGTTGTGCGTCTACCAACCTGATCGCTGTCAGCTGAGCGGGTTCGGATCCCATCCTAAGATGGTTATGGATTCTGTGATTGCGCGTAGGAGTTAGGCGGTCTCAGACGATCGAGCGTGAAGATAACACTCGGAGAATCTCTAAGGTGGGACTAGATTGTGCACACGTGATCCTTTGCTGGAGTCCGTGTGACATGCCCCTCCTCCTTTCCCCCTCTTTTCCCCTATATCTCCATGAAGTAAGTGAATGGATAACAAAAAAAATTAGGTGCATACCAGCCATTTCAAAGAGCCGGTGCTTAGGCCACATTATGGGCCCTTCTGCACCCCCGTCCTTCTAGCAGAGTTGAGTATAGCCTTGACTCTCAGCTCCTTAACATTTTATGGATCCAAAGTCCAGACTGGGGTCCAACGATCCCAGTATAGTCTGCCTGTAGTAGCTCAGAGCCCCACAGCGACATAGACCATGCGCCTCATAGAGTCCTCAACCACCTCCACCACAAGCAGGTGACGTCTCACCGTATTCTGGCCAGACAGCAGTCCCACCAACAACCTTAGGATTGCTCTATTCAAAGCAAAGCAATAGTCCCCATCCTTAGCACTGGTCTCTACGATGAGCTCCCGTGTCGAAGATGTCTAGAGATGCTTCTTCATTTCTGAGAGTGTTTTCTAACAATCCATTTCTCTATTATCCTCCTGACTCTTTGCGTGAGCCTCAAAAAGTTTTTGAAGAGCCGGGGTTAATATATTAACTCAGTTTCTCAGAGGTGGGCGGTAAATCGTAAAAATCTCTAATATTATATTCAAAATCATGTTAAATACGCAAATTTTGCGGGTTGACCCGATGCTTGAGGAGAAAGAGTCCTCCTGGCCTCCCTTTAAAGGTGCGAAGATTCCGAATCCGAAGTCAACTCGGTATGGCAATGCCTAACTGAGTTTTTTGATGATCATATTCGAATCTACCGTCCCAAATTACCTAAGCTTGGTGAATTTGTAACCATAATCAACGGAATGGAAATTTTGTCCAATTCTTCATTTTCTGCCGGAAAATGAAAATCAGAATCCGCCGAGTCCAGCGGAACCTCCGCTAAGCTGGCAACACTGCTCGCGACCGGCGTCAGCGGCGAGAGACGGCGGGAAAGGCGGCAACGCGCCTCGAATTCGGGTCACGCGGATCGATGCTCCACACGCCGCGCCTCGCAGGTTCACAGCATCCCATCACCATCGTAGCCAGGGAGATAGCTGTGGCTTTCCAGCACGCATATCGTTTGCAAAAGGGATTTCTCCAAGCGGGAATTTTTCTGTACACAAGTTCCTCCTATTTCTACGCTAAATCGTCTTATTTGTCCATTTTCGACTGGCATTAGCTTTTATTGATCTTGCTGTACTCACCATAACTTCTCAGAGCCATTTAATCTGAAAAAATCCACCACGCAGGTTACTCTTGGAACTCCTACGTAGGTCACATTTACGATACCCTGTGGAAACCTTCAAAATTTTTCGAAAAGTAAGAGTCTTCGGGCTCCTTACTAAAGAGCTTCTCGTCTATTTCATCCTGAGTGGTGTATCTTGGCTGTGCGAGTACCCTGGTCTTCTGATGGGATCTACAATGCCCTATAAAGAAGCTATCTTTCGATTGATATGGGAAACAAAATACCCTTGCCTTCGTGTGTTCTCTGGTATCCACTCAATATTTGGTGCTTTGAGCAGCCAAATTTGGTCGTCTGAGCGGTCTTATTGTGCAACCCTGAACATAGATATTTTGTCCTTGTAATGCTTTGAAGAACAAAAAGTCTCGCAGCTTAGGTTTCTTCCGGCTTCTCTCAATTTTTGGTGCCTCAGATTGACTGCCTTGACCTGACGAAGGATTTTTATTTGTCTCGTTCTGCGAGGACTTTGTCCCAGAAATGTCTTAAAGAGCAAAAAATCTTCAATTTACCTCAAAAGTCTGATACCCTGGGCGATCTGCTCTGATCTCCTGAGGGCGCCCATCTGCGAGTTTTTTGCAGGTTTTAGGTTTGCTGGTAGCTTTAAGGCATATATTTGGGAATTTCTTAATCGCTGTGAATATAGTGTGGATGGATGCTTGTTCAGTTCCTGAACAACGAAAAATATTCAACTTTATGGATGTATGGTTATCAAAAAACCCGAATGGTTTTGTGGGAATATCAATCTAAGGTGCCATAATGGTTCTGATGAACGGCAAGTAAATGAATGAATGTTTGGAAACGAGCAATATCTTTTGGTAGAGCCTGTCATCAAGTAGGTGTCTAATGGCTATCTGCAAGAGGTTTATAGGAAAAAACACCCAGTATCGCATATCAATTGAAGAAAGTAATATAAACATGAATAAAAAATCAACAATAGTAATTAAAACATGAATTTTATTCAAAAATCAAACATTTCTTTAAATTTTGACTGAATTATATGTAATTTCTTAATATTCAATAAGTTGGTGATGTTTCAATGACAAGCTGTCATCTCATACTTTGACAGTATTTTGTTTTCAACATAGCTATTGATTACTAAATTTTGTTGATTGGAACTTGAAGCTCATTCGTTGTATTTGACGGACTGTTACCCTATAGGTGGAGAATAACGGACTGTTGATGTGACAACCTTGGTGGAATCGACCCTAAAGATCTTTCGACATATCTAGAAACAAGCTAACTTCAAGGTCACTTCGCAGTAACGCGCGTCCCACATTACCATCAAACATAGCGGACGACAAAACAAAATTTCTGATGGAACAATTAATATCGAATACGATTCATCCCTCATTGGTGTCGTTCGAACATTTGTGCGTTTAAATACAATTAACGTGATGCTCGCATACGGCTACAATACCGGTCACAATACGGGCTAATAACGATAAATCAACATTGATGGGAGCTGCGACGGGGGATGTAGTGGGTATTTTCGCTCTCTCGTCCAAATGATTACGCATAATCCAAAAAAATGCAGTGTAACTGCTTTTGAACGCATGAAAGTATCAAAATAAAGCACATTTTTTAATTTTAAATACATACAAACGGGGAAGACAGTTCGAGAAGCATTATTTGTTGCGTAAATATGATGGTCTGTTTGAATCATCGGTCGTTATTGATAGGTCAAAAGCACATTTTGTAGTACATAACCATTTTTCATCGAGGGTCTGGAAACAGAAGATCTTCTCCTCTCAGAATCTCTTGATTTTTCCGAGAAATCGTCAGATCTCTTGAAAATCCATAGATCTTCTCAGATTTCCTTGGATTTCCTAGGTTATCTTTGTACCTACACTGAATAGAGCCCTAGGATCTACTGGAAAATTAGTGGAATTAGCTAGCATCGGCTAAAATAGATACTTAATACAGAGCTGGTCTTAAAACTCCTTGAACCATCAAAGAATTCCTTTGATTGCCTATGACATCCTTCGATTGCCTTAAATATTTTCCCTGTGACATAAAAAAGTAGATGTCATAAAAATCATTCTTAATACACCTGAATTTTCTTGAATTGACCCAAAAGATAGAAAAACGTCGATTGACGGAAATACCCCAGAGTTGCCTTTGCAGGAAATATCGCCATTTCGTCATTAACCGTTATTTTGGAAATAATTCACAAGAATACTCAACATTCATTGAATAAGCAAACAACATTGAGGGGTCACATTATGAGCAGTTGATACAACAACAGGTCTTTAGGGTGATGTTGGTACTCAAAAAATTCCAACATTGGTGTATTTAAATGCAATGTACGCATACGGCAGTCGGACACAATGGGGGTAATAACGATAAATCAACATCGCCGGGAATCGGAAGAGAGGCTGGGGGGAGTAAGGGGGTGTTTTCCATCCACCCCGACCTGGAAATGATTCCACAGGGCGCACACAAAACTGACCGCACCGGTGAACGAGGTGGCCGATAGCCACCGATGCGGTTTCCAATGACGACTGCATCGGATGCGAAGGGAAAAGCCATAGCAGATTGACATTAATAATTGAGTCAGACAGAAATTTACGTACGGGTACAGCAACTCATCACTGGTCAAGGAAGTCCCTGAAGCACCTCTGTGCTTGGTAGAGACTTGAGCTTCAGATAGATTTGCATTATAATGAGGGGGATTTGAATAAAAGTGATGGGGTTTTAAAATATACAGGGTGACAGGTAAATAGGTGTAAAACATTTTAGGAGGTGATAGTACAGCCCCTTTGCTATCGAAATTAGTATATAATACCATACCCTATATTCAAAGGTTGAAAAGTTATTGAAGATTTAAGATTTTTTTAAAAACAATCCATATTTCAGACTAAAAAAGTCGAGAGAGAAAAAAGTTTGCGATTAAACATTTGTTTTTCGTGGTTTTGGGTTATTATTTCAATAATTAACTATTATACATTAAACAAGATTCGAAAACAATACCAAACAACGTATTTATTTTCATTCAAAAATGTTTAACTAAGAAAAACAAATAACGTTTTACAGTAAGTAAGGTGTTTTACAAAAAAATCAGTATACAAAAAAACGTACAAACAATTTAAATAATATCCTTGTTTCATAAGGAATCTAAATTGGTATGATAGGTGCACAAAAACTGTGTGAAACTAAACATAATTTGTAATACAACAATAGGGGTAAATTTACCAATGGCTTGTCTCCTATTTTCACAACTCTCTGATTGATAAGAAAGTGTTTTTGTGAAAATAATGTAACTGTAAGCTATGGGATAGTTATTATTTTACACTACGGTTAAGTTACACGATTAGATTATTTACACAGTTGTAATTGTACTACAGAATAATAAAAACTGACTAAAAGTTACTACAATTGTTAAGTAAAATACAATAATGAAATGAAGGTAAAATTCATTGCAATTGCTGTTCGAACTGACGCCCGCCGTTTCTTATGCAAGCCCGTAGTATTTTTCTCATGTCAGTACGCGTCATGCGGCCAGTTAGTTGTCCTCTGATAGTGTCAGCAGCAGCAATAATTCTTTCTTTCAACTGTGCAAGAGTGGCTATGGGCTCAGCGTACACCAGTGACTTCATGTGCCCCCATAAATAATAGTCACACGGTGTTAAATCTGAGCTCCTCGCTGGCCACGGTGTCGGTCCACCTCGGCCAATCCAGCGACAAGGATATTTCTCGTCCAGCCACTGTTTAACACCCAGACGGAAATGCGCGAGACAGCCATCGTATTGGTAGATCATCTGCATCCTGATATTCAGAGGCAGGTCTTCGAGTTGGGATCTCAAAAAGTTTTCATAGGATTCGCCATTCAGGTTGTCAGGCAAAAAAGCTGGTCCAATTAGATACGTATGAATGATTCCCATCCACACGTTTGCCGAAAATCTTCTTTGATGGGCTCTTGGCTTTGCCATGTGGGGATTTGCCTCTCGTGGGGCCCAATAATGTAAGTTGTGATAATTTGTTGTCCCCTCTCTGTCAAACTTAGACTCGTCGGTCCACAATATTTTAGTTAAATAGTCGTTTTCTTCTTGATCCCGATGAAGCATGTATCGACAAAAATCAATTCTTCTTGTGGGATCTCTTTCTTCTAATACTTGAAACGGTGTGTAATGGAAAGGGTAAAGTCTCGCCGAATGCAAAACGAACCAAACTTTCCACTGAGGTAAACCAAGCTGCTTTGCTATAACTCGTGTAGACGTCGTCGGGTCTCTGCCGTAGCATCCCAGTATTGCCTCTCGATCTTCGTCGTCAAACAACCGAGGTCTACCAGCATCATGACGTCTCTCATGAACCTGTCCTCTTTCCTTGACGGGTTGGTACACAGAAGCAAATACTCGATGACTCGGTATTCGCCTATTCGGAAAACGGTTTTCGTATTCTCGCTTGGCTTCAACGGAATTTACATCACTTAAACCATAACAAAACAGAATATCAGCGTATTCTTCGTTACGGTAACTCGCCATTATTAAAACTGATCAAAAAAGTAAAAGAATGTCCTACCGCGTTAAAGGTTGATATTCTACTAACTAACCTAAGCGTTAGTTCCCTTTCCTTGATCCGTCAGCTGTGTCAATTCATAACACACGCAGAGCTTGCTTCCGAGGAGCGACGACAGATTCCGAATACTTAAACCCGAATAACGGCACAGGGCACAAAAAATAACAAAACCATGAAAGGCTCGGTTTACCTGCTCAGTACAATGAAATGCGCTTAGCGGTCCTTTCTAGCAAAGTAATATTGTTTTGTTAAATGGTTTACTTACTGATATGTTATTATACCTTTTTAGAAACCTAATGAAACGAGGAAGTTTTTGCAGTTATTTGTACATTTTCTTTATTATGATTTTTTTGAAAAAAAAGACTTCTTAATGTGAAAGTTGAAAATAAAAATTTTCATTTAACATTTAAATGAAAATAAATACGTTTTCAGTAGTGTTTTCATATGTTTTTTAATTTATGAGAATTATTTATTTAAATAATAACCTGAAACCACCAAAAAAAGAATGTTTAATCACCAACTTTTTTTATCTCAAGTATTTTACTCTGTAATCTGGGTTGTTTTTTAAAAAAAATTAAATCTTCCATAACTTTTTAACCTTTGAATATATGGTATGGTATTATATACTAATTTTGATAGCAAAGGAGCTGTACCATCACCTTCTAAAATGTTTTACACCTATTCACCTGTCACCCTGTATAACACAGAATTTAAATAGTAATTCTGAAATTGTATATCCAAATGAAACAAAATTATTGAAGGTTATTGTACACAAAGACAACCAGAAAATATAAATCGTTGAAATATACTCACCACATCATTTAATGAAGAACTTCATAATTTATCCTGAAAACAATCTTGAAATTATTTGACTTAACCTAGTAGTGTCGATTTCAAACAACGAAAGAGTATTTCAATTTGGACTTTAAAAAGAGTATATAAAGTAAGCACCGTGCCAGGCTTAGTAAATGTTTAGAATTCTTGATTACGAGGCCTAAGCTTTTATAAGCCCTTCACGTTATTTTGTTGATACGGAAAACAATAAGCTGTCGATAATGACATTATGTGTAACGTATTTTGAGCCTCTTGTGTCCATCCTGAGCTGCCCTGCCTGACATATCGGACCTCTACCTCGTTTCCTCGATTTTTCTTTACCCCCGCCTGTCCTCTAATTAGGCAGTTTGCCGCCAAAGGCGTTCAGCACACGTGAAGTGTGTGGAGGTAAACGGCCTGCCTGGGCGGTGTGCGGAGGCCAGATTGCCGACACTGTCCCTTGGGAACGATCCAACAAAGGTAGATGAGAAGGGGGCAAAGGGAGGGGGAGTACGTCTCCGCCGTCGTGGGGTGCAGAAAATAAACTGTTTGCAGGGATAAACAGCTGCGGAACACGTGATTATGTTTATGATGATAACTTCTTGTTTAAATGGTTGGGATCTGAAGGTCTGATTAGTGGAATGTAATAGAGTGTCTCCAAGCTATTTCGGAGAGACTCTAACGCAAGTTCTAGCCTTCAAACGGTTTAGATTGTCCCGTTAGCGAATTTTTCCAATAGGAGTTTGCGATTTTATAATTTTCCAGGAAGAGAGAAAGAAAATGAGGGAGAGAGCGACAGAGAGGGAATAGAAAAAATAACAAAAGTCAGAAGTGACATCACACATCTATATAGCAAAAATATTTCGTTAGTTCCATCGAATTTAATATATTTGGACACCGACTCACTTGTCTTTTGCCTTATAACCTTTGACGGGTATGTCTGAAAGCACGAAGGCTAAGATATCTCTGTGGTGTAACCAAGACATGTGTGGAACATTTCAAAGATGAATAGAATTTATTAACGAAAATTTTTGTTGGCCAGGAACAGAGTGCAAAGAAGTGTAGACACTGTGGTTAGGTGTTGTCAGGCATGGCTTCGAGAAGGCCGTACGCAAAGAGCAAGGGGCACTGGACGCCGCCGTAGAACAACAGACCGTGAAGATCGCCGCCTAAGATTATTGGCTTTAAGGGACCGTTTCTCCACTACCAGGTCCATTGCAAATGAATGGTTTGCAGAACACGGAAGACCTATTGGCATGCGAAGTGTTTACCGACGAATGAGAAGTTTTGGCTTGTTTTCATACCGGCCACACTGGGTCCTCCCTTTAACTCGAGAACACCGACGTAATCGCCTTGAGTGGTGCAGACAACGGTCACTCTGGTATCAGGAATGGAACAGTATTGTCTTTAGTGACGAGTCTCGATTTTGTTTAGGCATGCACGATGGTCGTGCCAGGGTTAGAAGGCGACGTGGTGAAAGGAGGAATCCACAGTTTTTTGTTGAAAGACATGTTCATCACACTGTTGGAGTTATGGTTTGGGGTGCTATAGCTTATGGTTCCAGATCACCTTTAATCTTCATCAGAGGTAACATGAATGCGCAGCGTTATATCCACGAAGTTCTAGAACCCCATCTTTTACCCTATCTTGACACCCTGGCAGATCCAACTTTCGAACAAGATAATGCCCGACCACATGTTGCAAGAGACACAATAGACTTCTTTCAACATAATGATGTCACATTGTTATCATGGCCACCAAGATCTCCCGACTTATCCGCAATTGAGCACGTGTGGGATATGATGGGTAGGAGATTGCTCAATTTGCAACGTCCTCCTCAGACTCTAGAAGCACTTCGAGAGGTGTTGGTGGTTGTCTGGAATGAGATACCACAGGAGGACATTGACCACCTGATCAGAAGCATGCCTAGGCGCGTTGGAGAATGCGTAGCACATCAGGGTGCATCCACACATTATTAAAGGTCAAAGGGCTTTAAAGCAGTGCAATCATTTTGAAATTTTTATCATTTACTCATTATGCTTCATTAAGTACTTATACAAAATTTTATTAAAATAAAACCATTTAAACTGGGTGTTCGGATTTATATGTCACTTAGTATATATAGTACAAGTCACCGTCTATACTCACCACATCATTTAATAAAGAACTTATAATTTATCTTGAAAACAATCTTGAAATTATTTGACTTAACCTAATAGTGTCGATTTCAAACAACGAAAGAGTATTTCAATTTGGAATTTAAAAAGAGTATATAAAGTAAGCGCCGTGCCAGGCTCAGTAAATTTTTAGAATCCTTGATTACGTGACCTAAGCTTTTATAAGCCCTTCACGTTATTTTGTTGATACGGAAAACAAAAAGCTGTCGGTAATGACATTATGTGTAACGTATTTTGAGCCCCTTGTGTCCATCCTGGGCTGTCCTGCCTGACATATCGGACATCTACCTCGTTTCCTCGATTTTTCTTTACCCCCGCCTGTCCTCTAATTAGGCATTTTGCCGCCAAAGGCGTTCAGCACACGTGAAGTGTGTGGAGGTAAACGGCCTGCCTGGGCGGTGTGCGGAGGCCAGATTGCCGACACTGTCCCTTGGGAACGATCCAACAAAGGTAGATGAGAAGGGGGCAAAGGGAGGGGGAGTACGTCTCCGCCGTCGTGGGGTGCAGAAAATAAACTGTTTGCAGGGATAAACAGCTGCGGAACACGTGATTATGTTTATGATGATAACTTCTTGTTTAAATGGTTGGGATCTGAAGGTCTGATTAGTGGAATGTAATAGAGTGTCTCCAAGCTATTTCGGAGAGACTCTAACGCAAGTTCTAGCCTTCAAACGGTTTAGATTGTCCCGTTAGCGAATTTTTCCAATAGGAGTTTGCGATTTTATAATTTTCCAGGAAGAGAGAAAGAAAATGAGGGAGAGAGCGACAGAGAGGGAATAGAAAAAATAACAAAAGTCAGAAGTGACATCACACATCTATATAGCAAAAATATTTCGTTAGTTCCATCGAATTTAATATATTTGGACACCGACTCACTTGTCTTTTGCCTTATAACCTTTGACGGGTATGTCTGAAAGCACGAAGGCTAAGATATCTCTGTGGTGTAACCAAGACATGTGTGGAACATTGCAAAGATGAATAGAATTTATTAACGAAAATTTTTGTTGGCCAGGAACAGAGAAAAAAGTAAAGGGAGAGAGCGAGGAAGAGCAAGTAATCAAAAGCAAGTAACAAAATTCAAGAGTGACATCACACATCTATATAGCAAAAATGTTCTGTTTGTTCCATCGAGTTTAATATATTTGGATACCAACTCACTTGTCTTTTGTCTTATAACCTTGGACGGGAATGTCTGAAAGCACGAAGCCCAATATATTTTCGTGGTATAACCAAGACATGTATTCAACATTTCAAAGATAAACGGAATTTAATATCGAAAATTGTTGCTGGTTAGGAAGAGACAAAAAATGAGTGAGAGCGCGACAGAGAGAAAATAATCAAGAGATTATTAGAAAATTCAGAATTGACATCACACATCTATTTAGCAAATATGTTCCGTTTGTTCTATCGAATTTAATATATTTGGATACCGATTCACTTGTCTTTTGTCTTATAACGATGGACAAGAATGTTTTAAAGCACGAAGCCTAAGATATTTCTGCTGTAAAACCAAAACATGAGTTGAACAATAGATGGAAAATTTTTGATTGATTTGATATAAAATGCCAATAGAAATGATATAAAATACCCTATGCAGGTATGTTTTCATATTTTGGTACGAATTGTGCAGCAATGAACTAGTGCTCCAACCATGAAAAAGAGAATTAAGCTTTACTATGCGCTTATGCATTTCTGGTTCAGAAAAAACATTATTCAGAATAACAAAGCTAATGGTGCGTGGCGAAAAATAGAAAAAATATAGAAAAAGTATTTACCGTCAATTTAATAGGAAATTCCAAGCACTAGTTCGACACATGACGTTTCCAAGGTACTGTCGAAAGCTGTCGTCGCTCGACTTAAAAACAGACTATTGCTCAGTTCTTCCTTAATATGCAACATGTACCTAGGTCTTTGGCTATGCCCACATCTACATTTTCTCAAGCGGTCTATGTCCCTAATTCTTTGAATACAATAAACATTGTTACGCGGCACAGCGTGGATAGAATCATCAGCATCTAGAAGGTATCCACCGTAAATAGATCAAATTTAGGGCTGTGTTATTTTCTTTTTTTTTCAAATACCATTTATCAACAAACAGATCGACTTACCTACACAGCATCTGAATTGGATATTGAAGAGCATCGTATCATTTTGCTTGATCATCTGCTGGAGGCTAGGACGGATTTGAATTCCCAGATCGTGTTTGAAGCTAAGACTTCGAATATGACAAGATTTTGGTGGATGCGTTAATAGGATGATTTGTTTTGCGCTATTTAAGTGAATGTTCCAACTTCAACATTTCCTGAAGATTCATGCATTGGTGATAAATGTGACAGCGACTCCACAGACAGATCAAAACCAGCAGGAGTCAACAATATGCTAAGAGGAGGTGAGCATTATGAGCACTCCCATTTGGTTATCGATTTACAAAAATATGATATACTCTTACTTTGTAACTATCTACTTTACCCTTATATTAACTAAAAAAAATAATTTAAAAAAACCCTACATATCGTTTATTGCCCAACAGTTAAGGAAACCATTTGTAGGACAGTCCTATGATAAATCGAACTAACAAAAATAGTGAACATACAAAGAGCATGTGACTTCATCTAAAGAAAGAAACGAACAAAAAAAGGAGCAAAAAACACATTTTACTCAAGTGAAAAACACATCAAAAATTATTTAAGCAATTCCTAGCTACTTCCAGAATGCTGTTCAAACTATCAGCACGTATGCACAATAATTTGATATGGCATTGAAAGTTTCACACATTACATATATGGGTGCTTTCAAAAATAAATTTGTGCGAGCCCTGTTACAATTAAAGGTTTTAGCGGTACGAGTTTGAATAGATGGGAGAATCAAGGTAGCAGTTGTAAAATGGGTTCCAAATTATCGATGCATATTCCAATTTCCATCTAATATATGCAGAATACAAAACCAGCAGTAACTCTGGGCGGCTGAAGCTTCTGCAGTTACTCACAATAAAACCCTACGACCGCGAAGCTTCACTCACATTTTGAGCTATGTGGAGTGAGCATTTAAGTTTATGGTCAAAAACTACACCCAAACCCTTGATTGGGTTATAAAACGATTTCTGAAAACATCCCAATCTTGTAATTGAATTTACAAACAGAAGTTTTCCTGGAAAATCTGACTACGCTACACTTAGATACATTAAGAAATAAATCGTTCTCATCACACTAAGCTACTAAAGAATCAATATCCCGCTGAAGTGCAATACAACCAGCAACAGACTCAATAATCCTAAATAATTTTAAATCATCCGCAAAGAGAAGGTTATTTCAACCTAAATATTGCGCAATGTCATCAATAAATAAGGTAAGCAATAAAGGACCAACATTTGAGCCCTGAAGCACTCCCGATTTAGTTACATACTGGTACGACTTGAAGCCATTGAAAGTAACATATTGCTTCCTTCCATAAAGATAACTTTGAATGAGAGCTAAAGCTGATGAATAGAAGCCGTAATAATAAAGTTTATTTAAAAGAATGCAATGGTCCACCCTATCGAACGCTATGGCCTTGCCGATCGACACATTCAATAGCGAACCGAGTGAAGATTCTTAAATTAGTTGCTGTTGATCTCTTAGTAGGAAAACCATGCTGATTTGAGAAATAAAATTCAAAACCGAATGGGTATATGGATTACAAAGACATTGTGAGTGGTAAAAACTTGGAGGGGCTCAAACACATCCAATGAAATTCAGTCACTCATCTAAATGAACCAACTTTTTGGAAACGGATGATAGAGATGTTCTAGATAATGCAATACCAATAAGACCAGGGCTCCGCTCTAGGAGAATTGTCTGAGTTAAAAAACCTTCGTCTACTGAATTAATAATGTCGACACTACAGATGACTCGAATTAAAACCTATCTGTAACAAAATACCTTTTTCGTTAAAGAAGACTAATGAAATGAGTGAATGTGAAAAACCGATCCATAAATGTCGATTATACCGGCGGACCTTTAAGTCCAAACAGGATTAGGAAATGAAGTGGAGCTGTTTAATTCTTACAGACCATTTCTTATTCTGTATTGATCTCTCTCCAACTAATTTATTAAATGTTTTTCCATTATAGCGAACGGCGCTCCAGACTGGCTATAAATTATCGTATACGATAAAGGAGAACTTAAACTCAAACATGAACGTAAAAATGTGTATTGCTGTGTTTCTCCAATACCTCTAATGTGTTGTGGAGTTTGCGAGGCTTGAGTGTTTTCCTGCTATTTTTCACATTTACCTTGGAAACAATTGATCACGTTTTAGTGAATTTAGCGCGTTTTGTATCGGCATTTTAGCTTTGAAAGTGAAGTAACTGAAGCATAGGTATAAGGAAGCATGTTTCTGCACAGCAGTGCTTAAGCGGTAATAAAACATGGTCAAAACCACATACGATAAAGTGTCTAATTAGTATAATTATAATGAGTGACAAAAACAGGTAAGCACCTACATATGCTTATTAGAATTCAAGAAATTATTACATATCGATTTATCTTGCCAAGAATAATATGCGGTAGAATCGTCAGGTTTTTCTGTTATTTTTTGTGGTGTATTGTTTGGCGATAAAGAAGCATTCAGTTTTCGTACATTTACGGTGCTATTGCTTATGGTAGCAGATCACCACTAATTTTCATCAGAGGCAATATGACGATATATTCAGAAAGTAGTGGAGCCTCATCTCATTCCATACCTAAACACCATCCAAAACCCGATTTTTCAGCAAGACAATGCCAGATCGCATGCTGCCAGAGCATCATTAGCCTTCATGGATCAACATCGCATCAACCGTATACATTGGCCACCACGATCGCCTCACCTACCTCCAATTGAAGATGTCTGGGACATGATACGTCGCAGGCTTTTGAAATTGCAGCACCCTCCACAGAGTTTAGCAGCTCTCACTCACAAAATTGCAGCTGCCTGGAATGAGATACCCCATCAGGATATCGACGACCTTATCAGCACGATGCTCAGGCGTGTCAACGGGTGTATAAGAAATCGTGGATCTTCAACACGTTATAGAACCAGCTTCTGCAGTCAAGCGAAGCTGAAAATTTGACCATTTTACTAATAAGGGACTAAAAAACTGATGAAAATGAGTTATAAAATATGTAGCAGATCTAGCTGTTCGCTGCGACTGGTGGCATTTGACCGGCATCAAGGCCAGATTGAGAGCACTTCGACCTTTTCTGGATCTTCCCTAATTGACTGTTTACTTTGTACTGCCTGACAACCGCGATGTCGAATCTCACCTATGCATGTACGGATGGATCCGATGGATCTTTTACTGTTTTTTGAAATCAGGTGATGCATATTTGCTCAAGCAAATTGTAAAATAGTATTCACAGGTTGTGTGCTATCATCATCAAGCCATCTAGATCAACGGATGACATTAATCAAACATTATAATTCTGAACCTCCTGAACCCAGATACATTGCTAAGCGCTTTAAAACTAGAAGGACGTCTTCTTGAAGAGTCTTTCACAATTCTTCTACCATAAGCCGCGGGATTCCAGCTCTGCTAGCTATCAGATTATGCCTATGGCTTTAGGTATTTTCGATGAATCATTGATCCGCTAAGGATCCACTAAGGCTCCATTATCACATCTAGCCAACTTTTTTTGCTACTTAGCAAACTGCTCCGCCTGTCTCAACATTGGAAGAGCTTTGTACCATTCAATAGATCAGAAGTCACAATTAATAAGAAGCTTCATCTCGTTTCATGACTTAATTAACTTCAATAATGTTTTGAATGTAAACGGTCGAATATTGGATTCGATTTTAGGAAATCTTGACATAGACGTCATCAGGGATAGTTCACCGTTAGTTAAAGAGGATGTCCATCCTCCTGCGCTGATATTTGAGTTCAATACA